GAGACATCCCTGCCCGGGGCACGGACACCTGCCCGGCATCCCGGTGTGAGTGCAGAGGTGAGGAGCTCCAGCCGGGGAGCAAAGCTCAGCCGGGAATGCCTGGGGCAGGGAGATGGACGGTCGGGATTTTTGGGAGAAGGGAGGAATTCTGTGCCCTCTCCTTCAGCCTGGGGGATGACCTGGGGCTGCTCTTTCTGTGGGTGGGACTCATGGCAAAATGAGCAGAACTGGGGCTGGTCCCTGCCTGCCTGGCCCTGCTCGGCTCTGGGGGCTGCCATAGGGTTTGGCCAAGGCTGGTTGTGCTGGAGATCAGGGAAAACTGGTGGCAAATGCCGGCTTTGATCTCCTGTGCCCGTCCTCAAGGTCAGCATGAGCTGTAGGGGCTCCTGAAGCTGCTGTGTGGGATAACTTACTCCTGGTTGTTACAGCACAGATGGACACCCTGGAAAACAGGAGAGGGATGTGGCCAGCTCAGAGGTTCAGCTTTCTGCAAGAAATTCCGTGTCTAAGGGCAAACACATGCGAGGTTTTGTGTGCTGGCCAGGACACGAGTGGGCGTGGAGCTCCTTTATTTATTCCTCCATGAGCAGAGCTCTCCCGGAGATCCCGGGGAGGGAGGATGAGGAGGAAGCTCAGCTCTGGGCAGCTGCTTTTTCGCAAACTCTCACCCTGCTTGTCTCCCTGCCTCCCACCTCTCGTGGCTGCAGAGCCTCCTGGCAGCCCACGGCACATTTTTTTAGCCATTCCAGAGAATCTGAATAGTTCTAGCAAGGCTGAGCTCTGATTTATAGGGAGTGTTTTTATGGTGTTTATGTTGGCAGGCTGGAGTTTATGTACGGTTTGAAATGTTCGCTGAAGCCTTTTATCACCAGAGCTGAAAAACAACAGAGCGTCCATGACAAAAAGTTCTGTGCTAATTGGAGAGGGGTTGATTTAGGGCTGGGGCTGCAAAATGCCTGACTCCTGCTTGCCTGCAGTCCCCATGGGGGAAAAGGAGATGATTTCATCCATCAGCAGGGTGGGATCCATCCAGGTTGAGCCATTTTGCCCGTGAAGGTCACAGCTGGCACTGAGAGGGACAGATCGTGGTGCCTCAGGCTCCTGTCCCTGCCCACAGCCTGACAGAACAAGATGAACAGCAGATGCAAGAGACTTCAGCTTGGGAAAAGAAGCAGTTCCTTAAATGTGTTGTTTTTTTTTTTATAACCACACTACACTCTGATGTGGGGCAGCACCTTGTGCTGGTGTTGGAAATGCAGCTCGTTTCCATCCCATCACTCCTCTCCCCATGTCTTTGTAGGATCTCAGTGTTCCAGCTCAGGTTTTAGTGAAATCAGTGTCTTGGTGAGATCCCATCATCACCTGTGGGATTTGGAGTGATTGAACCTCATGAGCCCCTCACAAGAAACAACCTCCTGCTCTTCATTTTCCACTTAATCCCTCTCCCATTAGTCCTGCAGAATTAGTCTGAGAGTAGGAAACTTTTTCAGGTGCCAGCAATGGGTCATCTTGGAACATAGGGAAGGAATTTATCCATAAGAAACCAACTTTAAAATCAGCTCCTGATCCCTCCAGTCATGTTCACCTTCCCTTTTCCAGCATCACAGCAGCTAAGGAGAAGTGGGTGATCCATGGGGTGTGAACAGCACCTTGCTGTGGGATGGGGATCTCTTTGGGCAGTTTAAAATGTAAAATAGCAGGAAAGAGTTGCAGGGGGATGCTACATCTTGAGCAGGGTGTGCTTTGCTTCTCCTGGTTCCTGAGAGCAGGTGGAGAAGTCTAGAGGAGTGGAGAACTGGAAACTGAGATGAGTCCCAGAGCAGTCCTTGGATGTCAGGCAGGTCACAGAGTCCCAGAATGGTTTGGGTCCCTTGTTCCAACCCCCTGCCATGGGCAGGGACACCTTCCACCATCCCAGCCCTGTCCAGCCTGGCCTTGGACACTTCCAGGGATGGAACAGCCACAGCTCCTCTGTGCTCAGCTCCAGGGAGGGTGGCCCACCCAAGTTTAGACCATGAAATCCCACCCAAGTGCCTCAAAACCAGTCTTGGAGGATGCCACAGAGCTTTTGTCCTTTTGAGGAGACCATGGCACACGGTCCTGCCTCCACACCACCCCACAATTGCTCCACACCCCTGCAACCCTTCTCCCAGAAACATCTCTTGGGACTCCCCTGCCAGGCAAAAGGGCACTTTATTCCAGGCCAGTTGTTTAGGAAAGGTCCTGGCTGGCATTAGGCACCTCATGAATCCTGCTGGATGGATCCAAATAAGAAGGCAGGGAAAGAAAGGCACAGCATTACAAGCACATCTACGTGCCTCTAGTCCAGTCACACATACAAGAAAATTTAAAGAATTTGGTTCAAAGTGTTTTAGTGAAGCAGAAAACCTCCTATTTTATGAGATTTCTGATATCTCTCAGTCTGAACTGAACCACACAGATTATAAAAGAAGAAAAAAAAAAAACAAAAAAGACACAAAACCAACAAATCCCCCACTTCTGCTACTGGCAGTAAAATCTTGGCTGACACGTGTGAGCCTCTATTAACCCATGGCCCTGTGAACGTGCTGCTCAGGGACAAACCTTACAGTAGGAGAGTCCATCCTGCTGTTATTCCTTGTAATGGGAAGCTTCCCAAAAACCAGCCAAAACAAATATTTGGAGGAAAGGCAGGGGCTGCCTGGAGGGCAGGAATGCTCCTGCCACCAGGCAGGAGGTGACATCATCCAGATTCCTTCACTGAGGAATGCAGGATTTGGTCTTCTCTGCCAGTAATTGCTTTTCAAAAACAGACCTGCCCAGGGAAGCAGATTTCACCCAGCCCCTTCCATTGCACGGCAGAGAGGCTGAATGTTCCCAAATCCACCTTCTTGTCCCTAATTTAACAGAGAGGCTGAATGTTCCCAAATCCCCTTCTTGTCCCTATCTTAACAGGGACATTGTATGGACAGGCAGGGTGAAATTGGTCATGTCCCAAAGTGCAATTCAAAGCACCCAAAATTCCAAAAGTGGGAGCTGGACAGAAATCTGGGCAGGGAGAGCTGCTGGGGCAATAGTGACTTCTTGGGGCTGGCCAGGATGGGGCAGGTGGTGGGCTGGGTGTGTGTGTGTGGACTTGTGTGCTGGAGGAGGAGCCCATGGTGACCTCCATGGTGACCCCATTTCTCAGTCCTGTGAAGCCCAGTGACCACATCAGGTGTTTTTGAATGTAGAACTCCAGTGGTGACTGGAGAGTGTTGGACTCGATGGTCCTTGCAGATCCCTTCCAATCTGGATGTTCTCTGGTTCTCTGGCTGGAATAGAGATGTGCAGATTCTGATTCATTGATTCTAACCACCAGCTGACACCTGGATCCAGAGCAGGGATTGTCCCCCTGTGCTGGCACTACTGGGACATCTTGAATTCTGTGTCCATGTTTGGGCTCCTCATGACAAGAAGGACATTGAGGGGCTGGAGCCCCAGGAGAGTCTGAGGGAGCTGGGAAAGGGGTTCAACCTGGAGAAAAGGAGGCTCAGGGGGGACCTTGTGGCTCTGCACAACTCCCTGACAGGAGGGGACAGTGGGGGGAGTCAGGCTCTGCTCCCAGGGAACAGGGACAGGAGAGGGAACGGCCTCAAGCTGTACCAGGGGTGGTGTAGATTGGATATCAGGGAAAATTTCTCCCCTGAAAGGGTGGTCAGGCATTGGAAGGGGCTGCCCAGGGCAGTGGTGGAGCCACCATCCCAGGAAAGTGTTCAAATACACAAATGTGTTCAAATGTGGCACCTGGGGACATGGTTTGAGGTGAACCCAGCAGTGCTGGCTTAATGGTTGGACTCGATGATCTTAGATCTCATTTCCAACCTTAATGACCCTTAATGATTAGTCTGGTAGGACTAATCCAGCAAGGCCACCCCTCCACGAAGCTTTTGGCTTCTCCTTTGGCTTGAACACCCCACATGCCACCTCCAGCCCCTTTGAGCTTGCAGCCCTCCACCCTTGGCTGTGCACTGGCTCCAGGCTCCACAAACACATCTGGAAATGGATGTCAGGGGCACTTCCAGCAGCAGCAGAGGGGTCAGTTCCTGTGGGATGGAGGCTGCTGCCGTCATTTCAATAGCTGGAACTAGGTGTAGTTCAGTTGCCCCCGTTGTGAGTCCAGCAGGCTGATTTAGTGCCTGGAAAGGGCCGAAATATTTTGCTCCCAGTGCCTGACAGAGGATGGCTGGCAGGAAACAAGCTCCAAGGCAGGGCAGGTTTTGCTGGTTCTCTAATTTTCCGCCAGGTTTTGGAAATTCTTGGCAATTAAATGGAGAGCAGCAAAGAAGGGCTTCGGCCAAAGGAGAAATCCCACTTGGTCAGCGGGATTTTTGGGAAGGGTGGAGTGAGGAGCTCTGAACGGGCAGCAGCAGGACAAGGGCTGGATCTGCTCTGCTGAGGCTGCTGGGATAGGGTGTGCCAGGGAGAAAGCCTGCTCACTTTTGGGGCCAGCAGCACAAGTGAAAACTGGGGATGGACACAAAGAGGGGTCTGGGGTCATTCCATGATGATATGGAATTTTGTCACTGCAGAAGAGGGACATCCATGCAGGAGGTAATGATGCAGCTGGCTGGGAGCAGGTCCCACGTGGGACAGGGTGACAATGCCATGGGAGAAACCTTCTATGGGACATCCCGGGCTTGGTTTTGGATACTGTCCCCCATTTTGGCCCCCCTCCATCCCAGGGCTGTGTCTGGTGTTGACAGTCTTGGTTTGCAGGACTCTGACAGCTCAAGAAAAGACACAAACAATATTTCCCTTGTTCCCTTTGGGAAAGGATAAAATCACAGAGTCCTATGGCAGGGGTTGGAAGGGATGTTAAAGATCATCTGGCTCCCAGAAGGAGAATGCAGGCACCAATCCCATTACCTCCACATGCTGAGCAAGCACTCCACCACCAGAGTTAATCCCCTGTGTGACACAGGGGTGAAATAGGGAATAAAGGGCATGAAATAGAGTTCTCCTGCTCATTTCTGCCTGGAGTCACCCTCGAGGCAGCACAGAGCTGGCCAAGCAGCACTGACATGAGCTCCAGAGGATTCAAGTGGAGGTTCCAAGGCTTTGAGGTCAGTAGGGACCAAAAAGCAGCCAGGAAAAAAGATGACAGTGGGTGCAGATCTGCTTTTAAATGACACAAGGGAGCTCAGAGGCTCCGTATTTATCACAGCTCAGTGAGTCAGGTGCTACCAGTCATGTGTGGGATTGCTGCTCTGGCTCCAGGCCTCCCAGCAGGACACAATTTGGGGGTTTGGTTCATGTTAAGTTGTTTCTTCAAGTTTCTCAGAAACACAGATGGTGGTGTGGTTTCTTAATTATTTCTGTCTGGAGGCTGAAGGGTGGATGACTTGGAGAGGAAGGGAGGGAAAGAACCAGAGATGGAAAGAGTGAATTTTCAAGAAGAGCCTCCCACAACTTCATCACCTTTCCTCAGCTTCTGGTAAAAGCCAGGGTCAGTGACTGCAGATTTTAACACCAGAAAATTATAAGGGGGTTTCCTGGAATATTGAAATATTTCCTGGAATATTGAAATGTGGTGGTCTGGGTGCCCAACCAGTGACCACCACACCTCAGCTGAGCAGCAACAAACTGAGACATGTCCTAAAAACTTCTTGGAGGTCAGAGACTCTGGCTTGGCATTTTTAAGGTCTATTTATCACTAAGTGAAGGAGAATCAGGGTTTTTTTCCTAAGCACAGCGTTTTCTGTGCTGTTTGCCTCTCTAAACTTAGCAGAGGAGGCTGAACCAGCCCTGGGCTGGCAGAAAGTGTGGAAGAAATGTGAGCACCAGACTGGGAGCCTGGGAAGGGGCTTGCTGCACGTCATGGAGGGATTTTAGTATTATTGTGAATTAAACCATGACTGAAACATCTTCTGTGTCCCATCCTCAGCCTCACAGTGCAGCTTCAGGCATCCCTGGGAACCAGACAGATTCACCAGGGCTACCTGCCCTGGCAGCAGGAGCTCCCCTCTTGCCGGGGGTGATGGAGGGTTTGGTGTGAGCAGGGCAGGGCTCATCTGAGCTGTTCCTTTCTCCAGCAAAACCTGCACCCACGGGCCTGGTGCTGCCTTGGGAAGATCTCTGCACTCATGACCAACCTGAAAACAAAGACAGTAGTCTCATCTCGGTGCCCCTTGTCTCAGGTTGTGGATCAGCCCTGAGCTCAGCAGCGTTGCTGGCTCAGCCCGCAGCCACGAGCTGCAGCTTCCCCTGTGTAACAGCCATGGAAGGGCTGTCCACCACCACCACCACCTCCTCCTCCTCCTCCTCTTCCTCCTCCTCCATCTTCCTGCCTTCCCCTTCCGCCTCAACGTGCTCATTCATGAAAAATTCCCAGCTGGATGGACGTGGGGGGAGGAATTGATGTTGGCGCGTTTTTTCCCCGCACGCCGGCCAAGGGAGGTCGTAGGCTCAGAGGGGTTTAATCTTTGTTTTCACAGCTGGGTTCCATATTATCCTTTCTTTTCCATATTATCCTTTCTTCTCTCCAGCTTTTTTGCTGCTGCTCATTGCCCAGAGCAACCTGTTGGGCTCAGAGTGTGTGCTCATCTGGAGCACAGCTGGCTGTGGGCAGCCAGTGGTGCTGTCCCCACAGGACTGGTGACATCCCCAGGAATGTTGGGGTGTCCATCAACAATGGCCATCAACAAAAACACAGCGAGTTCCACCTCAACGTGAGGAAAAACCTCCTCCCATGGGGGGTGGCAGAGCTCTGGAACAGCTGCCCAGGGAGGGAAGGGATTTTCCCTCTCTGCAGACATCCCAAACCCAAGCTGGATGAGTTCCTGTGTCACCTGCTTCAGGTGACCCTGCCTTGTCAATGGGGTTGGACTGGGTGATCTCCAGAGGTCTCTTCCAACCACAACAATCCTAGGATTCTGTGATTCCATGACCTGCACAGCCCCATGGTGTTCATTAAGGGGTGAGCTGGAAAGGATTATGTGCTCCTGCATTGGGGCCGTGCAATGGATCCTGTCTGGGGAGGAGAGGGAGGAAGGTGCCATCCCATAATGATCCCCTGGCTGCAGCCCAGATCTCCTGGCTCCTTTTATCCTGGCACAGTGTGGGGTGAAGGCAACTGGGCAGCTGGAACCAGCTTGGTCCATCCTTTGGTAGGACAGGACAAGGAGCAAGTTTGGGAACATCTTCCTTGTCCTGGAGCATGATGGGATCAGGAAAACCCTTGGGATCATGGCCCCAGCCTGGCACACCATGAGTTTGGGGAATGCTCTAGGGTTTGGTGAAGGTGGGGTATGGATTGGTGGTGTGGTGTAGGGTTTGGTGGTGTTGGTGTAGGTTTGGGGGTGTAGGGTAGTTTTTCGAGGTTTGGGTGTTCTGTGTTTGTTGGTGCTGTTGTAGAGTTTGGGGGTGCTGGTGTAGGGTTTGGGGATGTTGCTATAGTTTGTGTGGTGTGGTGTGGGTTTGGTGGTGTAGGGTACATTTTTGGGGTGCTGGTGTAGGGTTGGTGTTGCTGGTATAGGTTTAGTGGCTCCACCAACCCTACACCAGCACCACAAAAACGTGTAGGTTTGATGGTGTGGTGTAGGTTTTTGTGGTGCTTATGTAGGTTTGGTGCTGCTGATGTAGGTTTGGGGGTACTAGTGTAGGGTTTGGTGCTGTGGTGTAGGTTTGGTGGTGCCAGTGTAGGTTTTTGTGGTGTTGCTGTAGGGTTTGGTGCTGTGGTGTAGGGTTTGGCTGACAGGCAGGTGTGTGCTTATGCCCAGTGTGGTGGAGGAGGGGCAGAAGGTGCTGCTGGAGCCCTGCTGGATGCCCAAAGCTCCCCAGCACTGCAGATCTCAGGGTCAGCCTTTGCTTTGAGCAGCAGCGTGGCCCAGGGCCAGCTGGCACTGGCTCTGTTCCCACCTGGATGCCAGCCTGGGGACACCTTCCCCATGCCACTGTCCCACTCCTGAGGGGAGAAAGGGACCCTGATCCAATCCCCCTCCAGCCCCCCGAGCCCTGGGGATGGACAGACAGCGCTGGGGATGGACAGACACGTGGTGTCCCTTCTTGGCACGGGGGACTTGGCACTGTCCAGATGTGAGGCAGGAGCCTGTGACCTCTGCAGCGTCAGCGGGTGGGGGCCACCTATGTAAACAGGTCCAGGAAGGTTCCTGTCCCTGTTCCAGCCCCTGCTCGCCTTCAGATCAGACCCTCACTGGATCAGGACCTGCAGCCCTCGCTGCTGCTCCATCCTGGAGCTCTGGGAAGGTACCGTGCTGCTCACCCAGCCCTGGGCTCTCCTCTGGGCATTTCTCTCTCATCCTCCTCCTTTCTGCATGAAAACCTGGTGAGCAATTGAATCTGTGCTTAATTACCTAAGAGGTTATTAAATATTTGCTGGTGATATTGGTGGAATGAAATATCTCAGAAACCTGCCCTGGTTGTGCTGGGAACCCGGCCAGAAGGGTAGGAAAGCACTTGTGGAAATAATGTTTCCTTTTTTGCCTTATTTTCTGTTTTGTCTGTTATCTAAGAACAGCTGGCAAGAGCCCATCCAACCCATTTGCTGCCTTATTTTTCGTTCTTGAATCTCTGTCTTCCCTTTTAACTCTATTTAGGTCTAATTAGTAATGGGGAAATGGGCAACAAGTCACATCTAAGTGCCTTGGACTATTGCATTTTCCTTCTTGTCTTCATAGAATTCCAGAATGGTTTGGGTTGGAAGAGACCTTAAAGATCATCTCATTCCAAGCCCCTGCCAGGGACACCTTCCCCTATCCCAGGCTGCTCCAAGCCCCATCCAGCTTGGTCTGGAAGAGCTGCAGGGATGGATGGGGAGGGCACAACCTCTCTGGGGAACTTCTTGTTGTCTTCAATATGTATTTTCAATATATAAAGTTCATGTTGGATCTCTTTACCATAAAGATTTCATTACCATAAAGAAAATCTGGTGTCCAGGGGGCTGAGCTCAGGAGGACATTTTGGTGATTTGGGGTGGCAAGTGTGCAGCAGGTTTATCTGGGGAGGGCACAGGGATGGGTTACATGGTGGAGAGAAGGGTTTGACAGCTGTTCCCAGCCCTTGTCCCCATTTGCACACTTGGATCATGGAGCAGCCTCACTGTTATGGCTCTGTCTGACCTGTCAAGTCAGAGGCTTCTCCAAAGCCAAAAGATTGGGAACTAGATAAAATAGATATCCCTGCAGTGAGTGTTGGAATCTGCAGAAAGGTTTGGTGTTTCAGATATTATGGTTTGGGTAAAATTTTGTCTTATCTCACAAGTCCTGCTACCTGAGCTTCCCCTCAGCTCCTGCAAGCAGAGCCCTTGTGGTGGGTGATGGGTTTGAGAGACCAGAGGAGGGTCACCAGGGTGGGATGGAGAACCTTTCCTGTGGAGAAGGGCTGAGAGAATGGGGATTGTTCAGCCTGGAGAAGAGAAGGCTTCAAGGTGACCTTGGATCCCTTTCTTGTGACTAAAGGGGCTCCAAGAGAGCTGGAGGGGGATTTTGGACAAGGGATGGAGGGACAGGACAAGGGGGAATGGCTTTAAATTGATAGAGAGTAGCTTTAGATGAGATATTAGGAATAAATTCTTCCCTGTGAGGGTGGTGAGCCCTGGCACAGGGTGCCCAGAGAAGCTGTGGCTGCCCCTGGATCCCTGGAAGTGTCCAAGGCCAGGTTGGACACTGGTGCTGGGAGCAGCTGGGACAGTGGGAGGTGTCCCTGCCATGGCAGGGAGTTGGAACAAGATGGGCTTTAAGATCCCTTTCATCACAAGCCATTCTGGGATTACAACTCTCTCTGTGAAGAATTTTTCCCTAATATCCAATCTAAACCTCCCCTGGTGCAGCCTGAGGCTGTTTATTCTTGTCCTGTTGCTTGTTATCTGAAAGAAGATGAAAACATTAAATAACTTTGGACCATTTCTCATGGCTGTCTTGGCTGGGTGTGAACAGGTCGTGCCATCTGCTGCAGTGGCTGTCCCTGTGTCTGACGTGGATGAGGTGTGTGATGACAGAAATGACACCATCACTTTTTCCACTGGAACTTCTGGGAAAAATTTAAGAGTCAAACTTTCAGGGTCAGCAGCCTGACTGTGACACTGCAAAGCATTTTCCACACACAA